ATGTTGAATATTTTTTACAATTTTAATAAAATATATTACACATTTTCTTAATAATATTATTATTAATATGTTAAAAATGTAAAATTTCTATATACAATTGCTTTTATATCTCATTATTCTATTTAATTATTGATTTTAATCATTTTTTGTATTTATTGGATTGAGAATTCTTAATATGTATTGTAACATTTTAACTAAATCTTCTTCCTCTTGCCTGTCATCTATATTTGAAAGTGTAAGCCTGCCTAAAGCTTCTTTTATACTTTGTGAAAATCCAGCACTACGCACAATTAGTTTTCCTTTTTGATTATTGGACACTAAAGACCATAACATGGAACCTACTATTTTAAGTTCATCCACAGAATCATTCTTAAATATGTCATGCAAAACGTTAATAAAATCCACTGAAACATTTCAATCGTGTTATAATTATTTAAATAAGTAATGTAATATTAAAATGCTTTTTAATTCACCTGAACTAAGTAATCGTGGCCGATTGGTCATGTTAAATGCAATATTGCGCAATATGGAAATAGCAAGAATTCTACTAGATGATGAAGAACATTTTGACAATTGCAATAAAACGTCCAAACCATCGGAAGCCTGAAAAATGTATCTATTATTACTAACTGCATGCAATAGCTAACCATAATCAGCAATTTCACAGTATTAAGAAAATTAAAATATTTTTATATTTATGTATTTAAATTAGAAATTTTAGTTTACTTTTGGGACGCATAATTGACCCTCTTCATAATAAGTAAAATCAATTAGAAATTCCAAACAATACAATTCAACGAGTGGCCACGGTTTTGTTCTTTTTGTAGCAGTTGGATGTATTTTTATAAAAAACTGTAGAAGATTACTCTAAAAAATTTTAATGTATATTTATAACAGGTAAATCTCACTTTGGTGTTACATTTTATGTCAAAATAGTGTCAAATTACCTTCGAAATTAGTACCCTACATTCGTGCACATGTACTGCATTTCGCAGAATATGAAACGCGAAATGTAACTTTTGATGATCGAATAATTGTCCCGCTTTATCTATTTCTTTGCACACTAATTGTGTAATAATATGTATCAGTGCGAGTGTATTAGGAGTCTTTCTAAGTCCTGTTCCTGGTAAGGTAGTCGTTAATGTTAAAGATTGTGCAGCTGAAAAATCGCATGATTAAATTTGAATAAATCGTTCATCAGTTGCTTTTATTAATTTAAATGTTAACGTAATATAACATAATATATTAAAGCTTAATTATACCTATAGTACACTTTGTAGTGTACGTTGCAAGTAATTTTAAAGCAGTGGACAAAACTGTTTTATTTAATGTGATCCAAGCCCACAATTTGTGTAATACATCCGCTAATCCTGCCTTTGTAAAACTTTCTTTGACTTTTGTACTATCATACATAAAATTCATTATTAATATAAAAATAGGATTCAAGTCGAGTAATAATGGATGAATCTGTATAAAAAGTTAAAGAAAACATTTGTTGTAATGTGTAAAGCATTACGAAAATTCTATGGAATATATGTGCATAACATCTTTTTGTAGTTATAATATTGAAAAACTCTTTAACTCTTATTACGTACCTTTTTTTCGCGTTGTGTTTGATTCTTGAAAAGTTCAAAAGGTTGTAAATTTAATCTGACATAAAATTCTTTCAATATCATTAAAATTGTTTCGGGTAAGTTTTCTTTTAACGCAACTCTTTTGGCTGTGTTTGATACACATAATAAATTAGTAAATGCGCTTGTTATTAAATCTTTGTCTTCGTTTAATTTCTTATTTTTCTTGGACCTACTATAATTATGAGCAATAAATAAGTGCATTAAAATATTACAAAATTCTTCACCCATTGGAACTTCATTTTGTGCAACCTCATAATCTATTAATTTTTCGCAAATTGTAGAAGCATTTTCATTTTTATTTGATTTTTTGCACCTATTGGTGCTTTGTAAAGAAAGTTTATTAATATCAGACATAATTTCTCTTAAATTATTTCGACTGTTGCTTGATGAACATACTAAACCAGTATCTATTACAGTTTGTAGTGAGATATTGCTTTTTCCTAAAGAATCTTTTAGAATTTCATGAGAAAGTAGAAACATAAGGCAACCTATAGCGCTGATACGAAGTTCCGCATTAGAATCTTTCATTGCAATATAAATAGATGAAAGTATAGATACAGGATTACACAACTCTAAAGCTTTTTGTATTGATTCAAAATGCTGATTCTCTGTTAAAGAAAGTATAGCTATAAAATTGAAAATTTCGGTCCAGAGTTTGTTCCGCAAATACACTAATTCCAATGTATCATTACCTGCACAAACATTAAATTGTTATAATCTGATATGTAACTACATTATTACGAACTTGTACCTTTTTTTATTTTTAAACTTACGATATAAATCACTGCCTAAAAAGCAGAGTAACGTATATAATGATCCTGAAGAAAAATTGGCAACAAAAGTATATTCGTTACTGTGTGTGATACAATTCGTTAAAACTGTACAAATGTTAGTGTACATTTCCAAAATGTCACAATAATGTGTTAACTCTTTTTTATTTTCGACATCTTGAGGAATTTCGTTGATACACCTAAAAAGATACATATAAAAATGATAAAAAATAGTATTAATCTTAAAATATTAAAAATTTTTCAAAAAAATGTAAGAAGTTATCTATGTTGTCTATTCTTAATTACCCAAATAAATATTTGTCAATAGAATGCTCATAAATTTGATGAACAACTTCTTGTTTTCCTACAAATATTAAGTTATTTAACAATTTACAAACAGCTGTTATTAATGATGGTGTGGTTACAAATTGTAAATAATTATCAACATCTACGGTTGCTGAACCTTTCACTGAAACTGAACACAATTAGCTGTTTTATACAAGAAGAAAAATTAATTTTAATAATATTAAATTTATAGTATGCACTAAAGGTACACATACAAGGCTGCAATTCATCTTGACAATTGTACAGATATGAAATTGTACGCGGTACCAAGGATGTAGAACCCGATTGCATACTGCGAATGGAAGGAGTCTTGCTATTTTCTGCTTTTTGATTATTTATGTCGTCATAGTCCAAAGAAGTAAACATATAAATATTAGAACATAAAACGCTAATTTCATAGTAAGTATTGCTTTGTTCTACATATATTAATATGAACAAATTTAATATGTACTTACATATTGAAAAATGGCCGAGTTGCAATTTTTTACTAAATTACTGAATGCATAGCATGCTTGTTCTCTCACGATGCACGATTCTTCTCTACCAGCTATATATTGAAGTAATACTTGACACAACTCACTTGGCGCTAATGCTGTAGAATTTAGTAATTGAGAAGCTGTATGCAAATTATTCATTAAACCCGCCAATAATTGTAAAGCAGATGCACGAACTAATGGATCTCTATTTTGCCATAACATAGGTAACCAATTTAACGTGCGATCTTCTTCATACCAAAACTGTGTGAAAATCTAAAAGAAATTGCAAAATAAAAGTACAATAATACATGTTAAATTAATTACGTTATTATAAATAGAAGTACTTGTTTGCATGTACTTACAGTTTTATTAAAGTTTATCTGCATTTGATACAATAAATGATTCAGACATATGGCAGAATTTCTAGTTATAGATAAACCCATAAAACTAACAGTTCCAGCTCCATGAAAGGATATAATTAGTTCGATTAATGTATTTCCTAATGATATCAGTAAATTTTTATAATTTGCCCAGTGACATTTTCCAATTAAATATGTTAAACATGTTAATAACCAATCAAGGTAAGCTGTAACAAATATTATAATTTACATTAATCTAAACAAAAATATTGTGTAATGTAACAAAAGAAAGAAATTCACCTAAATTATAAAAATGTTGTTGATCTCCTAAACATAACGTAGAAACAACTAGTTCAATAAACTGGAGCCAAACATCTTGAACTTCAACAGTACATTTTTTAGTTATTTCTACTGCTGAACATGTACGAGCCAGCTTTAATATAGATTGATGTACATTTTGATTATCTAATTCTGAATTTTTTAATAATTCAGTCAACGATTTAGTTATATTTTGCATTATTTTATTGGTCCATTTATGTTTTCCTATTGTATTTAAAAGAATAAAAATATTTTTCACTGTACTTCAAAAGACATATGACCATTACTAGTTATTTATATTTTACCGTCTCTTGTAATATTGATATAGAGTTGTAGAAAATTTAAAACTTCAACAAACAAATCACAATCTTCTTTACTTGTAGGCTGTAAAAATAAAAATCGTTCAAACGTTTGTTCCCAAGATAATAAGCTTATATCTTTCATTTCTTCATGTTGTTGCATTTTATAAAATTTTATATGCCTGAAAGTATTGCATAATTGTTAAGGAACCAAAAATAATTATTCATAAAAAGCCTGTACCATAAGCAGTCATTATGAAAATGTTACAAACAATACTTACATTGTGAGATAATCAAGTGCGCATGAAACTGAGTCGTGAGTAGTTGAATTTTGTATATTATATAATTGTTGCTGACAATAATAATGAGGAAAACTAAAACGTAAAATTAAAAATTCATTTTCTTCAAGTTTCAATTTTTCAAATGTATCGGAATCGTAGAGATCGCTCCAACTTTTCCAAAGTACATTTGTACCATCGTTCCATTTCCATATCCAATAGTGTTTAATAAATGTTGATACTAATAGATTAGTACTGTGAAGAACTGCAAAAAGTTGACAAATTCAATATATTTCATGGTTATTGATTATAAAAATATTAATTTTAGAAACATATACATATAAATATAACGTATAAAACATTTAATTAAATTATTTTACCATACATATCTGATCGTCTATGCATACTTATTTTTGAATGTACTTTACAAAGAAATGGTAGTTTCATTTTGGATACAATAATATAAGGTAAAGAAATATTTAATTGATTATAATTCTGTGCACATTTTTCACTTAATCTCATGATATATTCATTATAAAGCAATAGACATAATAATTGTGAACCATCAATTTTAACACATTCATTGTTTGGAAATAAGAAGAGACCTAAAAAATATTTATTCAATAATTCTGATAGTTTTGTTCTTTTATGATAAAATAAATATTTTAATCGTTGTTATACATACTTCTGATTATATTTGAAAAAATGTTAACTTGAGTGGATAAATCTTGGCGTATAGAACATTCAGTAGATGCTAAGAGTTTTAATATGGTGATTATTGGAATGACAGAATCTGGATAATTAACAAATTCTTGTTCAATCTAAAAATTAATATAACTTATAACGAATATGGAAGATTATTTATTAAATTGTAGAATATTTAACATTTGACTATGTTTTAAAAAATTATGTAATGAAACTTACTAAAGCACTGGTAAATATCTTTAAGATTAAGGGTAATCCATTTTCTGCGATAAATAATTTATGTAACGAAGAATCCGTAAGCATAACACTAATTTGCACTAATGCAGATTTCCGTATTTTTGGATCGATATTCGGCTCATTCAACATTTCAAGTACAGGTAATAAATTGTTTCTCTGTGAAAATAAACATTTTTTGTACATCGTGGGTGTAAAATTTTTAGTAATATGTTAGTTACTAATAATATGTTAATAATATTAAAGTATGGTATTGTTTAGTGTATATAAAATATGTAATATGTTACCTGATAGCTGCCTTCACATTTTTTAAACAAAATTTGACGTTCAAATATACAAAGCGAGCTCAGAGGTAAACCGTGTAAAGATGACAGTCGTGGTAACTTTTTAAATGAATCTGCTTCTTTTCCAAGAAGCCAAATCAATCGACAAACGGCTTCCTCTCTAATATCGGCATCCGATGAGAACAAAAACCTCAAATTACCTTTCAAAACCTTTTAAACGAACGTGATTATAATATCCAAAGTAATTTATATAAGAAAAATAAACCCCTCTTTTACACACACACACACACAGGTCTTTTTCTCTCAATATATGGCAATTGTATATTAATATATACCTCAATATATGGCAATTGTATATCAGTAGAAACATCAGGATCAAAGATTTTTGTTACACATTGACCTAAGGTTGTAGAAGGATGAATATGGCATTGTAAAAGCGGCAATACCGGTACTATTGCTTCTAATAATTTTAACCAACCAGTTTCACCCATTTGTACTCTGCCTTTTAGTATATAAACTAATATTTCTTCAGACATTTCCTTTATCTAATAGAAAGACATATCATAGTTTCAAATTGGATATTATTAAAGCTAAATTAATTTATAAAATTTGATTTTACCCTTTCCTCTTCATGTGTTATACCATAAGATATTATTTCAGTTAAAATAGTTGATTCAAATAAAAATGTTAAATTTTTCCATGGCAATCTTTCTCTATTATATTCTAGTCCTAGAATATTTTTGATTAAAGTATGACATTCTAGGTATGTAACATATTGTATATCAGCATCTGCGTTTGCTAATAAGCTCAATACTAATTTCGTAGCCAATGTGCGATCTTCATTATTTAAAGAATATCTTAAATATTTAAAAAATTATAGTTTAGTACTGAATTAATAACATTTCTTCACTTTTAAAAACTAGACGAAAATATATACCTATTTATATTTTGTAAAAATCTAACAATTTTTTTTATGATAGTGAAATTCTTGTGATAAGATAAACTTAATTTTGAAACATACAACATTTTCAAACCATCTGAATAAGATGAATCAGATGTATTTTTAATTACAGATATAGCTGCTTGCATTGATTTTGCTATTACCCTCGTTTCATCAAACAATTTAATGTATGCAATTTCATCATTACCTTGAAATTGCTATAAAAGAAGATAAATGATTATAAAATGAAATACTCAATTATAAATGTATATATTTAAGTATAATATTATTACTTAAAAACTTAAATATTACTTACCCGACCATACTCTTGTAATATAGAATGCATCTTTGGATATAATAAATAAATAGGAGCATCCATTATAGCGGCACATATTGATGTTTTAAGTGACTTGGGAAAGATAACATCTGCTATTTCCAGTGGAACAATATTACTTAACAATTTCATTGTAATAGTTATAAGATGTAGATATGTTATTCTGAAATGATCTATTGTACTATAAGTTCCAAAACGTTCTATGACATCTCCTAAGATGCCAAATAATAATTTTATACTTTCAGTTATTTTCAAAGACATATCATCACTACAAAGCCAAATATTTGGCATAATACTAATAATAAGTAATTCCACTAGTTCATATGCTAAATCTGTCACATGCTTGATGTTTCTTAATGGAAATGTTGAATCAATAGAAATACTGAATTGAGATATAACATGTTTTAAAGTCTCAATACAAAAGGAAGGTATAAGCATTTGCTGTAATTGCAAAATTGAATCATCAATGTTATCTGATATGCTTTGACTTCTGTCACTTATACCCTAAATAAAGTAAGCAGTATCAGTAGTTGTAAATAATTTGATGATGTTTTAAGTAAATACTTACAGTGGATTGATAGGCTTGATAATTAATTTCTGGAAATCCTCCATCGGGACTATCTCTTGCCTCCGAAGAAGAATACATATTGTTGCTTAATTTTCCTGTTAATAACTGAAAGATACATTTTTTGGCAATATGTTATATTATACTTAAGTGATATTATTTATATTTAAGTGATATTATTATATATTTACTTTTTGTTTCTTGTTTGCAATGCATGGTTCACAATAATAATAAATCCGTAATCTCAAAGACCTTGTTAATTTGTAAAGTGTTTGTAATATCATTGGTACTACAATACTAAGGCTAGCATTTGAATTATTTGCACTAGATTCTAAAAGATTATGCAATATCTAAAATTTAATTTCATGTTATCAAATGTTCACAAATATATATTTGAATGTTTAAATAGAAAATTTAAACACTTACAGAGACTATTGCTGGTCTTTGAAGGAAAACTTCTGCAGGAAAATCTTGCATCATCACGTTTGTTATAAATTTACATGTATGTAATATAAGATTTGTATCTAAATTATTATTTAGAGCTTCTTCAACTGCTGCTAAGACACCTGTATCTGAAGCAACCAAAGGTTGCCATGGCATGACTAGCCATTTAATGCCACCTTCTGTAGATTTAGATATTGGAGTTCCATCCTTATATTCCGAAAAATATTTACCTGTCTAAAGCAGAAGGAATAGTAAGCATACTTTCAGATAAATTAGGATCTTTAGTCTGATATTTTTTAATTCCATCATACTTATAATCCTTAGTACCAGTTCTATTTCTATTGTAATTGACACATCCTATTGTTAAAGAGCTAGGATTCTTAAACATAAATGATACAGATTGATTCATTTTTTTTACGTTTGCACATATAATTCTAATGAAATCATTATACAAACTTTCATATTTTCTGCATTCGGTAATACTGTTTGAAATCCATCTGAATTAATAATGTCTTCAATTTCACTCAGTTTTTCATACCATTCTAAACCTACTTTTCTTCTTAATTCATGAAGTTCATTTTGAAATCTTATTTTACCAAAGGCATTTAAGTAACTTTTATCACCTGTCTTATAAAATACATAATAATTTTTTAGGTTTAATATATTTTGTCTTAATAAGAGCAACGTTCAGTTATTAAAAACATAATTATTATTTTTCATAATTTAAATTATTAATGAATAAAGTAAATGGGATAAAATATATTTAGAATGATTAAATACCTTTAATAACCGAAGTAATAAATCTAAAACCTTTTGTATTTGTGTAAAAGTTTCAAATGAAAACCAATTAAATAGTTTTGTTATTAATTCCTTTTTTACAGCATCGCAATCACAACCAAGCCCAAGATTGTATTTCAAAATAATATTATCTAAAGCTCTCGATCGAATTTCTTCGATGCTGTGACCTAAAATATTTAATAAAATTTTTATTTTTCAGTTACTTCTTTTAAAATAACAAAATTATTTATATTTACTTAATTTCTTGACATGTATTGCTGATATTCCGTTCATGTTTGGTATTTCTCTAAAAGATATAAAACTGTCATGTTTTAGGTTAACTTCTTCAGCTTCTTTTTGAATAGTTTCCCGCCAAATATTATATGGACACATTTAACCTTCGATTACATATTCCTAAGACTATAAACGTTAACATCAAAATGTAGTCATTTATCGAATAATACAAAATTCTTATTTTACATGCTGCATATTATTTTATTTACAATGACATTAAGAAAAACGGTGCTTCCGAGCGCGGGCAGATAGAAACTCGAGCGTTCGGTGCTAAAGTTGTAGGATAAGTGGTCGACATTGCAAGGGTCGTTTGTTTGAACATCGTTTGGACATCGTTTTGTACCTATGAATAATAGAAAAATATCTGCCAGTGTATATAATTCGAATTCAAAGCCTGCAACCTAGTAGAGAAGCCGCCAGTACGTTCGGAGTTGCTTTGCCAGTTAGACGTTTACTGAGAACGTTAAAATGGATCGGAAAGGTAATGTAAAAGGTTTTTCCCACGCGTATAAATAGAAAAAAAGAATTATTATATGGTATATTAACCTTTTAACATTATAAGTCATTCTTAAATCATGAGCTTGTTTGTCGTCAATTATATTGTACATTAAAATATATTTAATTTTTATGATAAATACTTAAAATTCCGCCAAAAATGATGGAAAATTGTTCATTTCTGTAAGAAATATGATAAAACTATTTGGATTTAACTACAAGGGATTTTTAAAAAATCACAAAACAGTTAAAGCATAATTTCTGGAATTGTTCATCGTATAAATAATTTCTTTTTCTTTTTATTTAAGTGGGTTTTGACTTTAGAAATAATTTTCTTAAAGCAAACAGTAATTTTCATCTTATAGCGTGTTAGATCCACCAGGCTTGAATGTTGCTTGCTTATTTTAGAATAAACGCCTATTCGGAAAATACTGACTATCTTTTCCATCTTGTATTTTTTAAACACAAAAAGTTATTTTTATTATTCGAGAACTATAAATAAATTCCTATTTTGCAGTTATCTAGATAAAACATTTTTAAAAATCTGAAAAAGTATCATTACGTGCTTGGAAATTTGTTTGAGGATACGTATTTGTTGTATACGATTCACTTGGAAAATAACGTCGGAATAACCACTCAAAGGTTGCTTTGCGAATCAATTCAGGCAGTAGGTTGAAATTTTGTTCAAAGAAATTTCTTCACGAGCTTCGGTTTCCTACATGAATTGGTATGCAAGCCGATATTTAATGGTCCGTTGCGACGTTAATTTGCACACGAATTGTATGCAAAAAAAAGTTAAGATGTAAAGTCGACACGCACCGAAAAGCTTTCCCCACCCTTATTCTATGCAGATGCTTTTATATACAAAAATACTGACACGTAGAAAACGTGTGACCAATATCGCAACCCACGTACTATCTATTTCCAGGTCTATTTTGTATGGCATCTGTGCTTGCACCTAATGTATTTTTGTGTCCAACATTCTGAAATACCGATCGTGTAAAAAAATCGAAGTTTTTGTAATGCCCTCTACTATATAAGTGGCGAGTTTAGGAATTACATACAATCCACCCATCAAAGATGGTAAAGTCGACAGATGAAAAAATCCTTTTTTATTAAATTTGCATATAAAAATATTGGATTGTTTGGGTAGAACGATTTTTTGACAGCAGTGAAACGCGCAAATATGACGAATCATTTACAATAAACAATTACGTTACTTTTTTGTTTGTAATTTCATAGTTACGTTTAATTCCAATTTCAAACACTACTAATGTTGTAATCTTATTCTATGCTGAATCGGTAACGTTGGTAGCGACACAAAAATGGTGAGGTTCTTCTCGGCCCCAAAGCCCCAGATAAAAAGTCGCATAAGATGCTAAAAGTCTATTCTGTACATCTGTGGTACAAGATAGACCTATTTAGTATCACAGACGAGATATAGGATAGACCAATCATCTTATGGGACTTTTTGTTACACGATCTGAAATACCGACGTCGTCTAAAACCATTGGTTTTGAAGCGCACTCTATGTTTAAAAACGGTCATTTTAAGAACTACATCGAGCTAAACGATCGATATTGGTTGTGTATAGATAGATTATTACTGTGTGTCAATACACCATTGGATCCCAAAACGGAAATGTATGTAACTAAATCCATTCTGATTTATCCTAAGATTCGAAATTTTGTCTTCTTCATTATTTAAAATAACAAATGTCAAGTGTTCGTGATTTCAATTTCTACCACTAATAGCGCAGTGATATTAATACTAGTCCTAATCGATACAGTAGGATGATGGTAACGGGGTCCTAGAACCCTGTGGTTATGTGACAAAAAAATACATTGGATGAGTGGTTTACTTTATTATCTCGTCTATCCTACAAGTAATGAGGTCTACAGTGTTGGTCGAGACGGGTAGTACAATCGGGCAGAGGGTGATTCTACATGTAAAAATAAATCGAAAATATAAAATAAAATTTTTTCATGGGAAGCTTAGTTACTGAGAAAATTGAATTTAAGTATTCGACGAGTGCGCGTGCATTTAACTATCCCTCGACTTTATGTTTGTACTAATAAACGATGCCAATGTCATAATAAGTACTGATAATACATTTATTAACGATTTTCTTAATTTAAATTTACATTACTGAACGAATTGTTGAAAGTGACATCTTTGTTGATGCATACAAATATCCTTAGTCTTCGAACCAGAGAGTTGTGGACTGATGACACGGTATTTTGTGCGAAAGCCTGTACGATTCTTTATTTTGGCTGCAGAAGGTTTACATTATCATCTGCGTAAACTATTTCCTTGTGAAATGTGATCTTACCTCGGTTTTTGAACATGAAAGTATGTGCGGAAGCAACAGTTTATAGCGAAGCTTTAAATTTACTTTTTTGAAACATTAAGTTCCTTACGAAAAAATTTTATTCTATATTCTTGGATTATTTTTACATACAGTATGTCCGGTTTAAATGAGTACGCGCGATTATTTCCCTAAGTACTAAAAATACAAAAAAATGTTTCACACAAATGTTGTAGGGTATAAAGGGCGACATGTTGTTCTGGTATTTTTTTAACCTTGCAATGACCTTAAAAAGCCCTATAAAGGTCATATAAGTTTGTAAATTGAAACGTATGTTTTTGATTGTGTATTCTTGTAGCCAACATTGAAACGTTTTAAAAACACTGCATACTTGTGATTTTTGCGTAAATTATTATCGAGATATCAGCTTCCAAGTTTTACAGACTGCATATCTAAATTATCATTATTGTGACTGAACAATATTGCGTGAAAGAAAATGAATAATGAAATTTACGATAACTCACCAAAAATATGTAAAATGCCTTTATTTGACACGCTTAATTGAATATAACATATTTGATAGAATACATTTTTTGCTGAAGTCAATAAATAACAAATTATTTCAGATGGCAGTTGTTATTGACTTATTCTGTATTTGATTCAGGGGAAAAATTTTCTGAATACAAGAGAGCAATATGCAGAATATTTGAAAATATTAATTAACATAATTTTCTAAATATAAATCTATTGTATTTGAACATTGGTGGAAACAGATCTGTAGTTCATTTTTCCAGCATCAAATTGGTCCAGAGAGGAAATTTTCTACAAACAAAAGAAAACATGTAAAATAATTGAAAGCAATAATTTAAACTATTCTACAGAAATAAATCAGATGTATTCTAACCTTTACAAAAATATGTTTTGAGCCTATTGCAGTCTTCACTTGTATGAATCAGCATCAACAGAGTAGATTTTATTTCGTTCAAGGGGGAAATTTTCTGAAAACAAGGGAAAATGTGCAGAATAGTTGAGAATAATAATTAACACAATTCTCAGAATATAAATCTGATATATTGTAACTTTGGTGAAAACATACCTGAAGCTTACTTTTGCAGCATCTAAGTGCATACAACGTTAGTAAGGATGTTGAGCTCTGTTTATAGAGGTAATTTTCTACAAACCGTAGGAAAGTGCTGTTTTCAGCGCATGTGTAGTGAATTGCAACGATTCCTACAAAAATTCTAAAATTAACAAAAACACACAACGGCGGTGGTTCTATGTGAAATGGCGCGCGATTCATAAGCGACATGCGCAGAAAGTATGCTGACACCACCAATCGTCCAACAGTTTGCGTCGAAACGGTTAGTGTTAATGTCGGTAAAAAGATAACTGACATACCGACATTCTAGTTCACGTGCCCTTTACTCTTCGCGAAGAATGATATTTGAATTTTAGAATTTTAGTAAATTAATAATTGAACATGTAAATAAATTAAAAAATAATAATATGAAACATTATGCATAGCTATTTTTTATTTCCCAGCAAATGTTGCTACAAAAGAAGTAATATAATAATACATTAAAACATTACTTTTAATTTTTTTCTTTCTCAACAGTACATTTATATCTTCAAAACAAGTATTAAAATAATTAAGAAAATATTTTTTCGAAAATAAAAGACAAAATAGAATTTGGTTGGGTACCACTATTGTACGACCCATACTACCAAGTGTCAGATAGCCATTGATTTATGGTGTATCTTTTTCGTACATCACCTAGTTACATCCTGCTAGTTACTTCCAACAGTTTTAAGTTCACACTGTTTCATCTGAGCTTTTCAGCAGCGTATGTACTGTGAGTCTCATCGATTCTTGGCGAAACCGTGTACTAAACAAATGTGCAGGGGTAGTGGTTTTATGTGAAATGGCGTACGATGCGTATTACGATGGCGAATGCGTACTACGCCATTTCACATAGAACCACGCCGCTGTGCATTTGTGTTAGTTCTAGGGATTCGGCAAAGATCAATGAGACTTATTGTACAACGACGAATAGCGTACGATCTGTATGAAACATCATTCGCCATCGTACGCATCGTACACCATTTCACATAGAACCACCGCCGGTGTACGTTTGGTTAGTTCTAGGGTTTCGGCAAAGATCGATGAAACTCAGTGTACTACGGAGCATACGGAGCC